GTTAATATGATCAGTTTCACCACTTTCATATTAAATAAACTCAGAAAAAAAAAAATTATCCAATCTTAACAAAATATCTTACAACTTTGGTTTCAAAAAAGAAAGAAAAAAGTCTTAACTCAAAATAATAATAATCACGTTTTCCACAAAATGAAAAATGACATTGACTCTCACAATTGACCACTTCTGCTCCTTTACACCCGCAAACTAACCACCCCTCTTCTCAATCTACCACTTGATCTCTTCTACTAATAATTCAATTTACAGCTTCTTTGCACTTTGTATAATGTATACTCAATGTCATTTTTCATTTTCGACTAGGTTCGTTTGGAATGTGAGTTGGTTTTTTGATTTTTAAACTATTTTAGTTCGGGGCTAAAAAATTTCGTTTTGGATGGATTTTTTGACTTTTTTGACTTTTGTGAAAAAAAAAATGAAATGATTATGATTTGGACGTGACTTTTTGTCTTATTGACTTTTTAGTTTTTTTTTTTTTTTTTTTTGACTATTTTAACCAAAAAAATTCCAAATTTTTTCTTCCCAAATGAGGGCAATATAAAGTTGGTTTGTGAGATTGGATGTGTTTGAGGGTGGAGATGATTATCAGATTAGGTGAGGTTTAGATTTGTGGACCAAAGTAGAAATGTTTAATTTCTTAGGGATCAAAGTGAGAGAACTTGATTTATTATGGACCAAAGTGAGCAACGAAAATTAGTTTAGGGACCAAAGTGGAAGAATATTTTTTTAAGGAAGAAAATGAAAAATGGCCCATTCTTCAAGATGTAAAAGTTTAATTTACCCATAATAAATAATAACATAATTGGTATTTCATGAGAAAGATATAAGAAATGTTGTATTATGAGAGTAAAATTGTCAATCATATTACTTTAGCACCGTAACATGTTAAAATTTGACTTTCACATTACCGTTTTAACATCAATCATAAAAAATATTCTAAACATGGTAAATTCTATAATGCATATCACATTTTTGAGGTGTATATTATATGTCTACTTATGACATTTGCGGCATTTGATTATGATTTATTGTGATGTTGGTTATGACCTATTGTAATTATTATTTTGGTTATAATTGAAAAGGTTTTTTTGTTATACCCTATGTGGTGTTCAGTTATGACTATTATGTTATTTTTAGTTATGACTAGAAGAGACTTTAGATAGTTTCTGGTTTGGTTTTAGAATCATGATTTGAGAATGAGATTGTATTTTGAGTTTGTGAGTTGTTGAATCATGATTTGAAAAGAGAAAATTTGTTTGGTTATAAATTTTAAAAAGAGTTTTGAATTGAGTTTTGAATTTTCGAAATGAAAAAAGTTGTTTGGTTATGAGTTTTGACAAGAGTTTTCAAAACTTAATTCAAAAAACTTATAACTCATAATCAAACATACAACTCAAAACTCTATTGAAAATTCTATTCAAAGCACATAACCAAACTCTTTTTAAAATTTAATTCAAAAAAATAATTATTAAAAAAAATAATTTTTATTTAAAAAATTTTAAAAATTTAAAAATCCGAAAATATTTTTTATTTAAAATATATATATATTATTTTTTGTAAAAAACAATATTTAGCTAGTGCTTTAAAATTACTTTTGATTGTATATTTGGTTGGAATTTTTTTTTTTAATTGCCTTGTTTAAAGACAGTCTAAAAAAATTATTTCTATATTTAAAAAATATCAAAAACAAATATAGATGTTTTGTTTTCAAATAATAGGTTGCAATTGCCACAAATAAAAAAAAATAAAAAAAAAAAGGCACTGCTCCAGTTAACCGACCGAACGTCTGGGAGATGTTTGGGCAGACAATCGAATAGACCCAATCAGCAAATTCAAAATTCAAAAACTCTACTCTACCCAGCATGCATTAGAATGTGCATTCAAATGTGGTTTTGAAATCAAATTTTGAAAATTTAAATTAAACATAACATTCAAATATAAGGCGAAATTATGATTTGAAACTTAAACCAAACAGAGCCTTAGTTATCACCACAAATATCATAATTTGCATATGATATACACTATTTTGAGAAAGATGTGTATTTTAAAATGACCCTCTAAAAATAGACTAATCCATTGGTATTTTTCTATTAATGGTCGGTCTCCCTCTAGAAAGCATGTAATGAAGATTAGGTTTGTCACCACAAAAGAGAGGACTAGGTTTAGTTCACATTCCACACTAGTACAGTCCAAAATCTGAGGAATCGAGTGCAATATCTAGTCCAAATTATTATGATCATAATTTTATAATCTAAAGAAAACATAACTGGAATTCTGACTCAGACACCAGTGGGGTACCCCTTTGTAGGTTCACAGAGTATTGTTGTCTTAACTCGTTGTTGTTGCTTTAATGGTCCCATAAGTTCCATTGGTTTGACACCAATGAAAGAGGGGGGGAAATGGAACAACATAGAATATGTTATAAGTAAAACTTTTCCCTCACATGGCATGGCATATTGTTTGGTTAATGAGAAAACAAAATAGAGAAATATAGAGAAAATCCTCCTGGTAATATTTGTAGACATGATCTTCTAACCTTTTTAAATTCTAACCACATAAACCAAATTTGTGGTCCTAGTTGAATAATCAACCCCAAAACTGCACCCCCACCAAACTTTACATTTGTGTTTGATATATAGTCTTTTATTTTATTTTATTTTGTTTTGAGATTTCGTCCCAACTAATCACCAAATAATTCTCCGAATTTCTATGTACCAAGTGATTATAGAGTTTAAACTTTGCTTCAAACAAAAACAAAGAATAAACTTATAATCATTGGTCCATCCTAAGATTTGAACACATGAGTATAAATAATTCGAGCAATCTAGTTGGTTAGTGTAGGCATAAAATTGATTACAACCACGGCATGGATGGTCCAATTTCTTGACTTCCAATTTCATTTCAAGTACTAATACATCACTTGCTTGGATTTTCTTGCTCAAAATTTGGATTTGATGCTCCATAGTTGTTCATTTGGTTTAAACCTACTCATCAATGCCCAGCGCACGTGGTGAAATCTTACCTTAACTTCATCGGCCCAGACGTAGGTGTGATAGGTTCTTTTGCAAATTACTAGGACTATGCTCTCTTACAGAAATGTAGAGTAGCCAATCTGCAAATTTATATTTTATATCAAAATATATATATATATCACTCTCCTCTTCAACTGTGTTTAGATTAAAGATTAAAGGAGAAATTTGTGGTGGAAAATAAAAAGAAAAGGAAAAAATGAATGAAAAAGAAGCTTTTTTTTTTTTTTGGTCAATTTCCCCTTCCACTTTCAGCTCCCTCCATACAAAGTTGAAGTCATCATAGAGTTCTAACTCATACAATGTTGAACTGTTTTTGGGATTTAACTCATATAATGAACTATGTTGAAGTGAATTTGGATACTTAAAGTTTTGATTTTTGTAATTTGTTTTTTTTTATATACAAGAATAGATTTGATCTTGTGTGCAGGATTTGATCTTGTTTACACTTTTGATGATGATCATGTGTGCAGGATTTGATCTTATTTTTGCTATATACAAGAATAGATTTAGGGTGTGGATGTCAATTTTTAGCTATAAAATTTCAAAATGTTATTTCTAACCTTTAGTGACCAAATATAATTGTTGTTAAAAATGTCACTATTTTGCTTTTTGTGACCAAATGGAGACATTTTGTGACGAAGTATTAGCGACAAAATATTTTAGTTTTGCAAAATCAAACATTTTATGATGATAGAAAATTCAACGCTAATTGTCATTTTCAGCGACACTTTCAAAAATTCGTTGCTAAACGTCAATTTTGACTTTCCTGGATGGACTTTTAGCAACTTTTTTGGTGACGAAATTAGTTTCGTCACAAAAAGAATTTAGGGACCAAAATAATTGGTCGCCAAAAGTCTTATATGTTGTAGTGTTTTCAATGTCCAGAGCACATGGTGAAATCTATTTTTTTTTTGTTGATCAACAAATGTTAGTTGTTAGTTGTTAGATTAGCACCTATGGGAGAAAATCTCTCCACCCTTGACAAAGCACCAAAGTGCTTGCACTCCCTTAATTCAACTCCCCTAAGGGGAATTGAATGCATGACATCCTTGGAACTAAGCCCTAAGGAATGTATGATGGCCAACTAGGTTAGGCCTAATTAGTTAAACATGGTGAAATCTTACCTTGGCTTTGTTGGCCCCAACATAGGTGTGGTGGGTTCTTTTGCAAATTACTATATGGTGATGAGAACAATGCCAATGTGCATATTTATGTTTTATCCCAAAACAAAATATCACTCTTCTCTTCAAGTGTGTTTAGATTAAAGATTTAAAGAGAAATTTGTGGAGGAAAATAAAAAGAAAAGGAAAAAATGAAGGAAAAAGAAGCTAATTTTTTTTGTCAATTTCCCCTTCCACTTTCAGCTCCCTCCATAAATCCTTCCTCAAATCATACATTCAAACAAAGTATAATAGCTTCTTCATGTTATGAATATGAAACAAAAAGACTCCAAATTTTAACCAGAGCCCAGAACTAGGCTACTCGACTTCCTTGTAAAGATATTGTAGTTTATACGGAGGGTACATCTCAAATGGATTTTAACAACAATTCAAATCAAAATGCCAAGTGCAGTGATTGCAATTAAAACAAAATTTAAAAAAAATGAAAAAAGATCAGTGTGGGTTGTCCCTTAGCTGGGAACTAAAGGCGTTGGAAACCCATTGCTGCAGAGGGCAAGACGAGTCTTTCAGTGTTTCCTTGAAGCTGTCATCTCCATGTCCACTCCTCGCCACGCTTAAGGCCATCTCACGCTGGACAAAAGGGTCCCCCATAGCTCTTGTCCCACAAAGCACACATTTCTTCGGACTTCACGTGTCACATGGACCCATCAATGCTCTACTCTCCCTCCCAAACGAATCATGGCTGGTCCGCTAGTCCCTCTTATCGGATCTGAAACTAGATATGCAATGCTTGCTTTTTAACAACAAAGGGATTCAAACAATACCCTCAATTTAATCATGACAGAATCTGAGCTATATATGGCCGTACCTCGGCATTGGAGGATAAGAAATACGCATCCTGCAAAATCATAAACTTTTTTTTTTTTTTTTTTTCCTTTTCTGTAAATGGAAAAAGGAGTATCCTTAAGATGGGTTAATAAGAAAATACTGTAGAGACATGTTTGTCTTGTTGGAAAAGGTGGAATGTGGTTGCAACTGTTGCGAAAAAGTGCCAAGATTTGTGAAATCTTTCTTCTTGCGACTTTTTCTCTTCAACTTGACATATGTGATGGCTTCTCTTATAAAAAACAAAGAATAATACTATATGTACTAATTAATGTACTAACTAATATACGAACAGATGATGTGGCATAATTTTAAGGGTTTTGGATATTTATAATTGGTATAATAGGTGGGGTACGTAATAATATCATGACACTAGTTGGTACACTAGTGTGCATATTTATTAGTACATGTAGCATCACCGAAAAATAAAAGATCCCAAAAAGAAGAACTTAAAAGGAAAATCCTCAATCTCTCCAACCCAAGTAGGCAGTCTTCATACGGATTCTCATCTCTGAAGTTAGGTTGACCCTACCACTCAATCTCCCTCTTTAAATTCCCCTCCTCAACCCCTTCGCTTCCTTGGCACTTCCACACCTCTACTTTTGATCTTTCCCACAAAGAAACAACTCACAAAGACTACTAGAGAGCTTCATTTTTTTACTTCTCCCATCTCTTGAGAATAGGGGAAAAAGAAAAGAAAAAAAAAACAAAACAAAACAATAACAAAACAAAAAATGAGACACCAACCTTTTGGCTTCCTCAGAGAGAGAAACATTCTTTCTGTAAGAAGCTTCATGCTCTTGTTCTTAAGCTGTATTTTTAACCTTGGCTTTCCAGGTACCCCTTCTTCATTGAAGACACTCCCTCTCGACGGGCATTTATGTTTTGACAAAATCCATCACGCCGCCAAAGATTTTGGTAACCGATACCAATTCCTCCCCTTGGCAGTTCTACATCCAAAGTCTGTCTCTGATGTCGCCACTACAATCAAACATATTTGGCAAATGGGTCCTAGTTCAGAGCTCACAGTCGCAGCGAGAGGCCATGCACACTCTCTCCAGGGCCAGGCACAAGCTCACAGGGGAGTCGTGATCAACATGGAATCATTCAGTGGAATGAAAATGCAGGTTTATATTGGAAAACATCCTTATGTGGATGTCTATGGCGGCGAATTGTGGATTAATATCCTGCATGAAAGCCTGAAATATGGGTTAGCACCAAAGTCTTGGACAGATTACCTACATCTCACAGTTGGCGGTACTTTGTCAAATGCAGGGATTAGTGGGCAGGCATTCCGTCATGGTCCTCAGATCAGTAATGTCCACCAGCTGGAAGTTGTTACAGGTTTGTACCCAAAAAATAAATAAATAAATTTGTAACAGGACAGCATCGCATGTTCATAGATTGCATGGGCCTGTTTGGTGCAATTTATTAACTCTTTTAATTTTGGGAATCTGTGCCACTGTGCTTGGTGCAGTCTACCAGAAAGTTGAGGAAATGATGTTTTTAACTTCTACTTTCTTATTATCAACTTTCAGTATAAAAAAAATTAGGGCTAATTACAACAAGATCCCCTCTACTATTTGGAGAAATCAACTTACCCCCTCATCTATAAACACGTACATTTTGAGCCCTTCAACTATAAAATGTATCACTTTCACCCCTTCTAGACCACCTTTTAGAAGGGGGCAATTGAACAATTTTTATAGTTAGGAGGTTAATATGTACGAGTTCATAGATGATGAGGATTAAGATGATATTTACTAATAGTTTAGGGAATCTTAGAATAATTAACCGTAAAAAATACTGCACCAAACAGGCTCATTACGCAATTTGAGAACTAGATCAACAGTTGACACATGTAACATTAACATGGGAAACCATACATCAACTTCAACTTTGTTCCACCTGTTTTCCACTCATTAAAAACTGGACTAGGAAGTTTCCAGGTTTCCTCATCATATTGTCCGAGAATCCGACCTTGTTTTCATAAAAGATACATAACCTTTGGTCACTGAACAGCAGTTCATCACATTCTTAGAATCTGTATTTACATTCAAAATTTACTGAAATTGTGCAGGAAAAGGGGAGGTAGTGAATTGTTCAGAGAAGCAGAATGCAGACCTCTTTTATGGTGTCCTTGGAGGACTTGGCCAGTTTGGCATAATCACACGAGCAAGAATTTCTCTAGAACCAGCACCAAAAATGGTAAAAACACATATATTTGTAAACTTCAAAATAAGCTCCAGTATAGTAGAATTTACCAGTTTCATAACGCTATGCCATTCCGAACAGGTAAAATGGATAAGAGTTTTGTATTCAGACTTCTCCGCATTCGTCAGAGACCAGGAGCATTTGATATATGCAGAGAACACGTTCGATTACATTGAAGGATTTGTGATAATAAACAGGACAGGTCTCCTGAATAATTGGAGATCATCATTCAATCCGCAAGACCCAGTTCAAGCCAACCAATTTCAATCAGATGGAAGAACACTTTACTGTCTTGAATTGGCCAAAAACATCAACCCAGAAAAAGTTGATATAATATACAAGGTGAGGCATGTCATGACCCACCAATCCTCCACTATAGTTAGTAAAGAAGCAAACAAACCCAATAGCTCTAATACCTGTTTGTTTTCTTGGTGCAGGAAATTGAGAACTTGCTATCCCAACTAAGCTATATCTCATCAACACTTTTCGTATCAGAAGTTTCATATGTTGAATTCTTGGACAGAGTTCATGTGTCCGAGATCAAACTAAGATCAAAAGGCTTGTGGGAAGTTCCACACCCATGGCTCAATCTTCTCGTTCCTAGAAGCAAAATACACAATTTTGCTGAAGAAGTTTTTGGCAACATTCTAAGAGATACAAGCAATGGCCCAGTCCTCGTCTACCCAGTTAACAAGTCAAAGTAACAATACAAGAACTAAACTTCTTCTTCTTTTTTTTTCTTTTTTTTTTTTCTTTTCTCTCAATAAACACTAGTTAAAGTTTTTTATTGGTAATTTATTAATTATTTTATTATTTTCAGGTGGGACAACAGAACTTCAGTGGTTCTTCCAGATGAAGATATTTTCTATCTGGTGGCATTCCTTTCCTCTGCAGTTCCATCCTCTTCAGGAACTGATGGCTTAGAACACATCTTAATTCAGAACAAAAGGATTCTAGACTTCTGTGAAGCAGCCCACCTTGGGGTAAAGCAATATCTTCCACACTACGCGACACAGAAAGCGTGGCGAGCTCACTTTGGCCCACGTTGGGAAGTCTTCGTAAAAAGGAAATCAGCTTATGACCCTTTAGCAATCTTATCTCCAGGACACCAAATCTTTCAAAAGGCAATATCCATATTATAACATAGGGCCACATTAATTAATTAAAGAAAAAACTGAAAAGGCATTCAGGGCATGTGGCAATTAGTTTGTGTCTTAGATTGATAAGAGTTTATCATATCTTCTCGACAACTGTACTTATAACTGGGAAGCTGTAGCAGCTAGTTTAAATTGTTCACTTATCAAGCAAAATATTTGAGTTGAAATCTATGAAATAGCCTTTTGAAAGGTGCTGGAGAACACCAGACTTTATTAAATGTATATCTCATGTTGGTTTTTATTTTTTTTAAATAGCTAATTGATTTCTGTGATAGAATTCAAATTCCAATAATACAAAAATGGTAAATACTAAATAACTATAACAGAAACATGGAATGGCTTCTTACACATTATGAAAAAACTAAGCAAAGGAAGAAAAATATAAATGATAGGAAACAGAAAGAAAGAGGTGTGCATTAGATTGCTTGATTTAATTCTGATTATGAGCCTGATAGACTTAACAGACCTGAACTTATAACAGAACCAAGGAGAAATCTAAATGTTCTCTCTGAGACAACCAAATCTATTGCCAGTGATATCATGCAATTATCACATCGAAGTTGCCTTCAATTCACAGGAATACTAAAAGCACACTAATTTTATTTGTTTCAATTCTCTTAATAAAATGATGATTGTATCATCATTTTAAAAACCAAAGTCTCAAGTTGAAGTGGAAATACCAATACCAGCAGATCGAGAAGTTTGTATTAGTCATTAAGTTGATTTTATAGAACACATAAATCTAGACTTCATTCCAAACTGGCAGTGACAAGATCAGAACCAAGATGTCAAAAATAGAGTCTTCCTAGATAACTCTAATTAAATTTAAAAAAAAAATCACACATAAACAAATTTCAGTAATAAGGATGCTAGATATATGGAAGAGAAATCTTTAGTTGCGGGACCAAAGTTGATGCTTAGGTTCACCACGCCAAGGAAATGAGTCAAGAGTAGGGATGCAAATGAGCCGAGCCGAGCCAAGCTTTGCTAAGCTCGAACTTGGCTCGTTTGCTTATCAAGTTCATTTATTGAGCTCGAACTTGGCGTGATAAGTAAATGGGTTCGAACTCAGCTCGGCTCGTTAATATTCTCTAATTAAATTAAAAAAAAAAAAAAATCATACATAAACAAATTTCAGTAATAAGGATGCTAGATATATGGAAGAGAAATCTTTAGTTGCGGGACCAAAGTTGATGCTTAGGTTCACCACGCCAAGGAAATGAGTCAAGAGTAGGGATGCAAATGAGCCAAGTCAAGTTCGAGCTTCGTTTGCTTATCAAGTTCGTTTATTGAGCTCGAACTTGGCTTGATAAGTAAATGGATTCGAACTCAGCTCGGCTCGTTAATATTTAATAAAATTCAAGTTCGGCTCAATAAGATTTTTTTTAATATTATTTAAGTAAAATTATTTAAATAAAAATATTATTAATATTATTTAATATATAAATAATACATTTTTACTATTATTTATATATATTTATATATTATATAATATATAAATAATATATTTATTATGTAATTTAAATAAAGATAAACAAGAGAGAGAGACTACGTCAATGCACAAATCATTAATGTTTTTACTATTAAAGAAATTTTTACAATTGTATCACAGTTCAAATTGGTTTTTCCTTGTACATTTCTATAAATTCAATCAGGGTATTGGATCTTACCCTCTTACACTCAACTTCAGCTAAACAAAACGGATCTAGAAAGAAAAGAAAACTTCGAATAAAGTAGAAGAGATTCAATAGTGTTTGAACATGCTGTTCAATAGTTCAAGAAGTGCATGATTCTGTTTTCGCACAGTACTCTTGATATCAATCACATGGCCATCTCCTGGATTCCTGAAATGTAAGACACAGAATTCTTTGCTGTATTTCAAAGCACTCAAACTTCCAGCAACTCTTCTATATAAAATATCTGCTGGGCCGGATACCGGATTATCATTAAAAAAAAAACTCTTCTTTAAAATATCAGTATCACGAAGTGAAGTGCAGTAAAAGTTTGTCATTGAACACAAAGGACCGTTTCATGAGAATATTCACAAGAAAAATAACTGACTTAAATAAAGCATGAAATTGATGAGGCTTATGTATGAAAGAACCATTTTGTAAGTCAATTTGACCCCAAGGAACACAACATCCCTGTCCAGCAAGTACCTCATGGTATTGGCTTAGGATATAATACGTAAGAAATTTCATGAAAACAAAAGTATCCCCCATACAATAAAATAAAAAATATTGTAAGGATTTTTTGTTACCATTCATTTGAAAGTCAGCATCTGTAAGTAAAAAATACTAACATGTTTGTCGGGTGTAGATATGTATCTAGAGGTCGAACTTATCAAATCATAAATTTAAGGCTTGACAAAAAAATGTCATATTTTTATATTGTTAATAAAGTATGTGAGACAAAAAGGTATATGTAACTTACAGTGTCAAAAAGGCATTAGTGTTATATATAATTATATGAGAAGTATCTAACCCATATCCCATACTCTTGTCCAAGTGTCGTGTGTCCAACACGGGTATTTGATTGTGTAACATAGTAGTTAGGTTACCTTAAATAGGAGGTGGCTGCATTCCTTGAAAGCTTTATCACTGGAAATGTTACTTTCATGGTGACAGTAACACAAGCTGCTGGGGAATCAGACACCAAGAAAAAGGTCTACTTTCCGTCAAAAGTACCACCATTCAGAATTATATAATCAGTGCCAGATTGACTAGTATGGTATTGATAACTATGATGAGAATATATGAAACAAAGCAACTATAACTCATGCTACTCTCTTCAGAACCTAGAGATTGCCCAAATAAAGGGCATATCACAATCCAATAGTCAACGAAAAATGAGAGGCCAGTATGCTGAGTAGAACAAAATGGGGTATCCTATACCTAAAAGTAGTATAGGTTCTATATTCCAATGAAAACCTCATGGTCTCCAAATCATACCCCTTAAAAGCAAATCTTAAGCCTTTTTTTTTTCTGTCAATTAAAATTCATATATTTATTTGTACAAATGTATGTTTATGAATTTCATAAAAGTTGGAACCCACAGAACTTCATTAATCAGTACATTTTGTTGAAATCAGACTGTTGCCAAAGTAGAAAAACCATATCCAAGTTACTCACCTGAATTCCATGTCTCTTACATGAATCAGATTAGTAACTAACTTCCCCTTCTGAAAAGAGGTTATATCTGCCACAGAAAGGCGAAGACTCGGTTAGCTCCATAACAGGAAACAAATGGTAATAAATGATTTAACTTTCTATGTTCCAAGCAGAAAAGAAATAAACACCCTTTCTCCCCCAAATGTACAAGCATCTATAGTTTCCACATAAGATACAGATACAAGCAATGACACCGGCATAGACACAAACACAGAACACAATGATTTCAAAAAATTAGGATATGGACATGATAAAAAAAAAATTGGCAAAAATTATACTTTTGTTTACTATGTCATCTACAAACAACTAAAAATAAAAATAAAAAACTAAGGGTACTAAGGCCAAAGGTCCAATTTTGAAACTTTTGGGGCAGTAGCACCAAGCTCCATTCTTTTAGGGCCACGAGGACAAAACAATTTGAAAGATCACATTACCCCCATCTATATGTCTATTTGTCCACCTACCCAGCCATGTGTCACCTATCTATCCACATGTCCACCTGTTTGTTCACACATAACCTATCCATCCACCACCACTGCCAATCGCCTCTGGTGATTTTTCTGGCGGCAGTGTTAATAGAGAGAAACTACAACTAGAAAAAAAGTGCAAGGATAAAACTATTACAAATGTCATTTTCACCCAATAAGTACCAAAAAAAACGTGCCCTGTTAGCCTCAAAAGGCCTCACATTGTCTTTAATGCCCCATGTGCTCCCCTCTTTAAACAGGATAGTGCGGCGACCGGCAAATAGTCTTTCACTACCAAAGGCCTAACTAAATAAATAAATAATGGAAAAGAGATAATAAGGCCCGGGAACTCCCCGATGTTTCAAATAAAAGAAAAAAATTGGAAGAAAACAAATTTGTAGGAATTCAATCATTTGTTTGAACAAATCAAAGGGTTTTGTGTAGAATCTTGAAACTAAGCATCCTACATTTTTGTATGTTTTGTATTGAAAAATATCACGTTTAGATTTATCAAAAATAAAAAAATATCATGTTTAGATGCTTTGAATTGAAGAAAATAGGCCAAAACCAAGTTAGGAATCGAAACAGCCAAAGGCAAATCTTACTAGTGTCGGTTCCCAAGTTGTTACTGAAGTCCAAAAAACATGGTTTGAACACAAAGAAAATCTTCAACACCAAAAAAATCAATCATGTCTAACTTAATCATGTTAGAATAATATCTTGGTTATTATGCATTTTTTTATTCTATTTAGCTGTCATTAGGTGTAATTTCCTTATTTCGTATTTTCCTTTTTGCGCCTTAAGGCTTCCATTGTAAGTTTCATATTATCAAAATATAAAAATGAGTGATAGCCTCATCATTCCCAAGTCTGTTTTTCTCTCAAACAAACATGGTATCAGAGCTGTAAGATTCTAATCCCAACACCCATCACTCCACTTCATCATCCCACTGTCACCCAACACCAGTTGAAGAGTACCGACCACCACCCAATCAATTTCGAAGGCAACCCATCTTCTGCGACAGCATTTCCCTGAGTTTTGGCTGTTTTTTCTGCCTCAGTAGGGGTCGTGACACCTGTCAGGCCTTCTCTAGCCTTCGCTGCTTGTCACCCAAGACCCCTGGCTAGTTCGTGACTCAACCTAGATCACCCAACATCCCTTGTGACTCCGACAAGTCCTTCACAGCTGCCTTGCAACCAAGATTGTTAAGATCGGGATCCTACACAAGATCATTTTGGGGGCCTATCAGATCGAATCGTAGGATCGGATCAAGGATCGTAAGATCCTACTAAAATAATAAAAAAATGCAATAATTTTTATATGACTAAATAATAATATCAAAATATATATAGAATAAGCCTCAAAAAAAAGAAATATAGCAATTCAATGTGACCAGCAACATTTTTCCTCTTCCTCCCTCTTCCTAAACCAGAGGTTGACAGTCCTGCAATTGCAAATTGTAAACATTAAAAGAAATTCCAAGCCCATGTAAAAATTGCAAATTGTAAAAAGGCTTTAAACAAACCATCATTTGGCAAATTGTAAAAAGGCACAAGATAGTTCATATTTTTTTGATAAGCAATCCTGTTTTGCCTTTCCAATCAAAGAAGCAAATGTGTTTAACAAGATTAAGTAAAATGAATCTTACAATGATTTAATTTCCATTCCCAGGAGCTAATGAAAACAGTAGCAGCATTATAATTTATAGCATTGCAGGCAGCAAAGAAGAACAAGGAAAATTGAAGAAGAAAAAAAGAAAAGAAAAGAAAAAAGAGAAACAGAACCACAATAAGAGCAAAAAAAATGTATATTTACAGAGCAAATATATATATATATATAATATAATTTATATATAAGAGAAACATACAGAAATATATATATAATTTATAGAAACAAAAATAAATAATAAATAAGAGCAAAAAAAAAAAAACGAAGAGGTGATTCAGTGAAGAAAGAAGAAAAGATCAACGAAGAAAGAAGAGCTGCTGAGCAGCGAAGAACGAAGAATAGTAGAGAGGAAGAACAACGAAGAAAAAGAAAAAAAAAAAGAGCAGGCAGACAGTCTGAACAGCAGCGAAGAAGAGAGAAGAAGAAGAAGCAGCGTACCTGGAGTCGCAGCAGGTCAGGCTTCTCTGTTTGATGTTGAATCTCTCTTTTCCCAATTCGTATTGCCCTAATCGCAGCAAGTCAGGCTTCTCTGTTGCTTTGCTTCTCTGCTTCTCTCATTTTTGCTCCCGATTTTGCTTTTAAGTTGCCAAAAAAATCCTTGAAATCTGGATCGCATGGAGTCGCGATCTAGATGATCCCAACGATCCCAAAACGATCCCGATCTGGGGTCAATCCAAAGCACGAGTCGGATCAAATGGTGTATATTGATCCTGATCTGGGGTCAATCCAAAGCACGAGTCGGATCAAATGGTGTATATTGGGTCGTAGGATCGTACGAACCTACAATCCGGATCGCGATCTTGACAACCTTGCTTGCAACTTCAACTAGCCTATTTGGTCTGCCTCTCACTTCCACCCAACCTCAACAGGTTCATCTCTTCAGTCCATGTGTTGATTGAAGTACCTAGTTCTCATTCTCTACATTGTTAAGTTTCCCCTTTTGATTGAAACTCCTATCTACTATTTTGATTTAAGTTTTTTACTCCTATACGTTTGGTTATTTTTATTTTAGATCACTTTATGGCCCTATTACTCAGCCTTACTTTCTATCTGCCTTGTAGTTCTTCCAATCCATCTGAGAAGGATAACCTATTCTGTGATTACTGCCTCCGGCTGAGACACACTCGTGACACTTGTTGAAAACTTCATGGGGTTCCTTTTGGTGGTCGTAGTAACCGCTCTAGTAGTCATCGAGGTTGTTCAGGATGGTCTCGAGGACGTGGGATTAATCCACATGCCCATCATACTAGTGCAGTTGATATGCTTGACTCCTCTTCAATCTTACACCTAGCAATGATGTCTCTAGTATGTTTTCGTCTAAGTTTGAGGATGCTTTGCGCCACCTACTGGATCGTCATTCTTCTACTACTCCATCTGGTGCATACCCCTTTTCGTTTGCCTAATCAGGAAACTTAGCCTCTTCTATGAGTGTTTTCCTATCTCATAAGACTTTACTTTGGATTATTGATTTTGGTGCCTCTGATTATATGGCTGGATTTTCTTATTCATTTTTAGAATATAAGTCCTCTTCAGGTCAGGACAAAGTTAAGATTGTTAATGATACTATTTGCTTTGTTTCTGGGAAAGGATTAATCCATGCTACCCCATCTCTACCATTAACTTTTGTTTTGCATGTTCCAAATTTCTCTGTTAATCTTTTATCATTGAGTCGTCTTACTCATGACTTGAACTGTAGTGTGACGTTTTTCCCTGGTTATTATCTTTTTCAGGACCTTATCACAAGGAGAACGATTAGCAGTGGTAGAGCAGAACATGGTCTCTATATCCTCAATCAGGCAAACAAGGTGGCATGTCATTCCATCAAGTTTCCAACCACCAAGAAAAACCTATAGTTGTGGCATCGACGTCTTGGACATCTCTCTTTTTTATTACTTAAGCATTTGTTTCCTTCTGCTTTTACAAACAATAATGACTCTGGGTTTAATTGTGAATCTTGTCAACTTGGGAAACAACATAGAGCTTCTTTTGCTCCAAGTTTTAACGAAAGTTTAGTACCTTTTTTACTTAATTCATTCTGATGTTTGAAGTCCATCTTGTGTTGTGTCTTTGAAAGGTCATAGATGGTTTGTCATTTTTATAGATAATTTTTCTCCTACTTGGGTGTATCTTACAAAAGACAAAAGTGAGATTTTTTCTGTATTTCACACTTTTCACCAAATGATTTATACTCAATTTGGTAGAGCACAAGAATCGTCATCTTCTTGATATGACTCATTGTATGACCTTTTCTATACAGGTGCCGCAGTCTTACTGGGGAGAAATAGTTCTCACTGCTGCCTATCTCATCAATCGTCTTCCTATCCAAGTGTTGCATAAACAAACTCCCCTTCACGTGTTCTTAGGTTCTGAGTTTGTGTTTTCCATTCTCCTGAAACCTTTGGATGTGTGTGCTTTGTCCACAATCATTCCCCTACTCGTGGTAAGTTAGATTCTCGTTCTATTAAATATGTCTTTCTGAGTTACTCGCCTACTCAAAAGTGCTATAAGTGTTATCATCCTCTATCTTGTAAGTGGTTCGTATCCATAGATGTCCAATTTTTTGAATCCCAGTCCTACTTCTTATCCTCTCCGGTGTCCCAGTCATCCTTTCAGGAGGAGCCTTAGTGTGAAGAGATTCTTGGATCTTTATCAATTCCTAGATCATTAGCAGTGGTTGAGGATGTAAAATGTGAACCAACTATTGTTGGAAATACAGAATCCAATGGTCTCAAGAAAGGGAGTGAACCAACTATTGTTGGAAATACAGAATCCAATGGTCTCAAGAAAGGGAAAGTCTATGTCAAAGACAAAGACAGACAGAAAGTTACAAGGATACAAGAGACCACTTCTGATACTCTACTGCTATCTCCTTCTCCTGATGAGAGTACAGGGAACTCTAAAACCCTTGTTCTTCCTGAGTATTCTGAATATTCTGATCTTGATATTCCTATCGGAAGAGTGTGAGGTGTTGTACTAAACATTTTATTTCTAACTTTGTATCCTATTCTAATTTGTCTCCTTCTTATATAGCCTTTGTGTCCAAAGTTTCTTTTGTTAGTATACCTAATCATTTTCAGGATGCCCTTGCTACTCCTGAGTGGAAACATGCCATGATAGAAGAAATTAGAGCACTTCGTAAGAATGGCACTTGGAAATTGACTGAGTTACCTAAAGGCAAACGACCTATGGGATGCAAGTGGATGTGTACTATGAAGCACAAAGCGGATGATTCAATTGAGCGTTACGAGGCTAGATTTGTGGCAAAGGACTTTACTCAGACTTATGGAATAGACTATCAAGAAACATTTGCACCAGTTGCTAAGATGAATTCAGTTAGGGTACTCCTCTCTTTTGTGGTTAATCTAGATTGGCCACTTCACTAGTTTGATGTGAAGAATGCTTTCCTACATGGTGATCTAAAAGAAGAGGTGTATATAGACATTTCTCTTGGCTTTGAGGATCATTAGATAAAAGGTAAAGTATGCAGGTTTAGGAAATCTTTATATGGTCTCAAATAGTCCCTAAGGGCTTGGTTTGAGAGATTTACTCAGGCAATGCTCAAATATGGCTTCGAACAAAGTCAGGTTGACCACACTTTGTTTGTTAAACATTCCTCACATGGTAAAACAGTAACCCTCATTGTATATGTAGATGACATAGTGCTTATAGGATATGATATTGAGAAAATTTCCTAGTTGAAGAAATATTTGGCAAGTGAGTTTGAAATAAAAGACTTGGGAAATCTGAAGTATTTCCTGGGTATTGAGGTTGCCCGGCCTAAGGATGGAATTTTCATCCATCAGAGGAAATATGCTCTTGACTTATTGAAAGAAACCGGGGTGCTAGGGTGTAAAGCTTGTGACAACACATCGCTAGAGCCAAATCAAAAACTTAGTGATGATGGTGGGGGAACTACTGTTGACAGAGGGAGTTATAAAAAACAAGTGGGTAAGCTCATTTATTTATCCCATTCTCGTTCTGATATTGCCGTTGCGTTTAGTGTTGTTAGCCAGTTCATGCATGCCCGTCATGAGACTAGTGGGTAAGCTCATTTATTTATTCCACTCTCATCCTGATATTACTGTTACGGTTACTGTTGTTAGCCAGTTCATGAATGCCCCTCATGAAACACACTTAGCTATAGTGATACGGATTCTTAGGTACTTAAAATCTTCTACTACAAAGGGTGTCTATTTCTCCAAACATGATCATCTAGTGTGGAAGCTTATACAGATGCTGATAGAAGGTCCACATCTGAAAATTATACCTTTGTTGGGGGCAATTTGGTTGCATGGAGAGTAAGAAACAGAATGTAATAGCCCAGTCTAGTGCAGAGGCAGAGTTTAGAACCATAGCACAGGATGTGTAAACTCTTGTGGATCAAGTTGCTGCTAAGTGATTTGGGCATTAGTCAGACAGACTCCATGCGACTATACGGTGACAATAAGGCTGCTATTACCATAACTCACAATCGAGTTCAACATGATCGGACAAAACATGTTTAGATTGATCGTCACTTTATCAAGGAGAAACTCACCAATGGCACTCTATGTTGTGAAGTCAGGTGAACAACTGGCAAATATTCTCACCAAGGGAATTGGGAGCAAACCATTCCATGATGTGCTCGGCAAGCTGGGCATGAGAAATATTTTTGCACCAACTTGAAGGGGAGCATTAGAATAATATCTTGGTTATTATGTATTTTTTTATTCTATTTCGCTGTCGTTAGCTATAGTTACCTTATTTCATATTTTCCTTTTTGTGCCTGAAGGCTTC